GGCCGATGGCAATGCGTCCGATGTTTCTTTTCCCAGAAAATCCCCCCCCATTCCACTCCCCTCCAGCCCCACTTCTCGGCTGTTCTTGGTGGAGGTTACCTACTCGATACGGTTCGCGAAACAACTCCGTTTGAAACTAAACGTCATCTGTCCCAGAAACGGGGATATACTTTGTCGATGTCTCTCGACTGCTGCTAGGGGAAAGTTACTACGCCAGACTGAATGCCCCAGCGGGTTGTGTTTTCCCTGAAAATGTCGTCGTCATGGTCGTGGTAGTGGTAGTGGTAGTGGTAGTAGCAGTCGTGGTGGTGGTAGTAGCAGTCGTGGTGGTGGTGGTGGTGGTAGTAGTCGTGGTGGTGGTGGTGGTAGTAGTCGTGGTAGTGGTTAGTGGTTGATGCCGATTGTCATCATCGGTTTAAAAAATTAAAATACAAAATAAGAATAATAATTACAATAGGAAGAGAACGTTTCAAATGTGCATTATCTTTATGACATTTCGCTTGTCCGCCCCCACCACCTCGACTATCAATCAGCCCTACCTGTGGCCCTTTGTACTTCCTGCGCTCCCCTGCGCTCCCCTTGTGCTCGCTCCCCTTGTGCGCTCCTCTGTGCTCCTTGTTCCCTTGATCACCAGAAGGCGTAGTTATCGCATATTTGACTTTTTTTTTTTTTTAGTTGCCCCACTTCCTCAAACCTACGATATCAGGTTCTCGGGGATTTGTCGCCTTATCTCAATTTCCCATCAGCCAGGCGCCTCCCAGGCAATAATGGTTTGCCTGCAAATCTGGGACATAACATGTGTCTGAGTGGGACTCCATTTGCCCCCTTTTGGCCGGGGCACTCCCCACTTCTTCATCTTCCCTCCTCTCTATTTTCCAGTCCCGCCTCCGGCTGAGACCTTGGATTTCCTGCCTGCCTGGACAGCAGCACACTTGGATCAAGGAAGACCCGAGAGAGATGAATATGGTAATATAGACTTTGCCGTCCTGTTGAGACGTACGGCACCAGGAGCCAATCAACCTCTTCGCTTTTGGGTTTTTGACCGTTCGAAAATATACCCGCTTCGCAACAAGCCTTGCCACTCCCTCCCAACTCACCCACTCTTTTTTTTTTCGATCGAACCGAAAAGAGAAGAGAACAGTGTGTCAAATCCTTTCAACCCCACCCCCCCTCCCCCTAACCCTCTCACCTCTCATCTCTCACCTCTCCCCTCTCCCCTCTCCCCTCTCCCCTGCTCCCCAACCCAACTCAACCGTCCCTTGGGCCACCCTTCCTAGAAATCCTCTTCAAGGCTAGCTCGTTACCGTAGTTACCGTAAGTTCTCTCTCTAGACTCTTGAAAGTTCCCGAGTCTAATCATCGAAGCCTCATTCCACCAGCCGAAGCGCGCTAATGCTGGCCTAATTTGTTCATCATCCCTTTTATTTTACTTCTTCCTTTCTTCTTCCTTTCTCCTTCTCTTCAATTACCATATCCGGGGCATGATCTGACCCTTGGTACCTGCTTACCACCACCACCACCACCACCACCAACAACAACAACAACAACAACAACAACAACAACCCCCTTTACCTCCCCTACCCCCCTTACTTCCTCCTTGTCGCAGCACGAAATTAGTTTCGGCCTAATAATTGGGGGGTCGACCCGAGGGAACGACCGGGGGAAGAGGAGGGAAGGGAAGGCTAAATTGTCCCCCGTTAGAAGTTGCAGGTTGCATATTTAGCAACTTCGAAGCTAGACCTTTTCGTGTGTCCGGACTATAGTTAGTTGAGGCGATCGCCTAACAGTTTTTTTTTCTTTTTCTTTTTTCTTTCCTTTTTCCTTTCTCCTTTCCTTTCCTTTTTCCTTTTTTTTTTTTTTTTTTTTTTTTTTGGAACCCAACGGGCCCCTGCATAACTAACTATTAGCCTACCCATCCCGATCGATAATTACCCCAATAACTACCCAATAGGTTGGTTGGTTGGCTGCTTGCTTCCATGATGAGGACTTTTTGAGTAATTAACTAGCTAGACTCCAGAAACTTCCTCCATGTCTCCCCCCTTCAGATCTGGCCATCTCTTCCGCCACCTGAACAACGGTTTTCCGACATCACTGGGGGCAGCATCGCCCATTTCCATCCCCTAACTACGGACTTCCGACTGGTATTTTATATATAATATATTCTTCCTGAAAAAACGGAATAAACCTGCAACTCCATGATTTAAGCGGCGTGTTCTTTTCAGTTAAGCGCACATGCTTGTGTTGTGCAAGCAGTTGGAGTTGGAAATTGAAAAATACTGGATCCAACTTAATAACAGTCTCCACCAAGCATTCCTGATTCCTGATTGATAGTGGTATGTAGAAGAAACATTTATCCAACTCCACCACCAAAAAGCCAAATAGAGGGTGGGGGCCGCGGGGGTTGGAGGGAACAAATCGCAAAACAGGGCATCATTTCCCATCGAACTTAATCCTGCCTGAAACTCTTTCATTCTTTATTCTCTTACCGTTTTTTTATCTTGTTTTTCTTTTTCATTTTTATTCTTGTGCAGTGAACGTTGTTTCTGCTCGTTGTCATTATCAACCATCATTATTTTTTTTGTTTTTTTTTTCCCTCTGCCTTTTCCTTTTCCTTTTTCTTTTCTTTTTTTTTTTTTTTTTATATCGGGCTAAATCAACTGGATAATCGACCCGTGCAAAAGCCTCAGTATCAGATGCGGGTTTTAGGTTTCATATATTCATGTGCGGAGAAGATGGAGGTCTAGACCGTGTATACTATGTATATATATGTACAGGGCAGTTCGGTAGCAATGAGAATCCACATTTTGCAATGAACAGGCACCTGAGGCGTTCATGGATCGGCTAGTTTGGTTTTTTCTTAGGGGGAGATATATAGATATCCAGACAACCCGTGTCCCCAGCGACGGTGACTTTGGGATCCAAAGCGAAACGACTATTTCTTTTATTGATCATCCTTTATATATATAAATTCTGTTGTATTCTTCAGATGGATGATGATATATGTTTAACCTCCCTCTGTAATGTAAATGTAAGCGTAAATGTTGGGTCCTTTTGGTTGACCCATAATCATCAAACCGTTTCTTGATGCAGAACCGCCCGGATCCGGAGATCTCGTCTAGAAATTATCAGATGCTAAAATACTTAATAACAACAATAATTCCATACCAATGGGTAACTAGTTAACTAGTTTGCCTATAGACTGTCATAGAACAAAAGGTTGTTAAAAATATAGTTATACATTGCAAAGGCCCAGCAGCCCACAATCTCGAATCCCCTTCCGATTCCCGAGATCTCCATTCATGGTTTACTTTTGGCCCAATACAAAATACCAACGAATAATTATGTAGCAAAATCGGTAGCTAACCATCTCCAAAATAACTAGCCCTGATTGGTCCTGACGATCTTACTGCTTCGACCGGATTTGTCATGACTCTTCCTTATTCAACCAAGTTCCAAGCGCCACATTCTTCCAACGATTTCCACATCGCGCCAACGCTAGAAAACTTTTCGAACAATTCCATATGCAGCAGCCCGTGAAATTTCGACCTCAGCAAAGTTTCTGCGAGCGCTGCATCGCGGTTTCAAGGTATCCCTGCAGATATCAAGCTCTATTGTTTCTTCCTTTCTTTCTTTCTATTTTCAAGGCTGCGAAAGCCTTTGAAGTCTGTGGAAGATGTGGACTGTTTTGAAATTGTGGGACGAGCAAGTGGACATCATGTTAGTATAATTTGCCTTGGTATGTGTACTTTGCTTGGCAGAGCGGGTCGGCCTTTGTGCTTTGATTAGAGCAGCGAGGGCGAGTCTGCGACCACAGGTCCACAGCAGTCGCTTTGTACTAAGTACGATTTGGAGCATTTCTGCTGCTTTCAATCCACTCGGGGCCTCGAGCTACAGGACTAGCACTGACGAATTGCAAATCAGTTGCGAGTGAGTCTGCCTTCCTGGATCGCCTGGGATCCTTCGCTTCCGCTTTTGTTTGGGGGGGCGGAGAGGAGAGTGGTGTTGCTAAAATGTAGTTATTGGCTTGCCGCTGAATGAATCGTTTATGTGAGAAAGGGGAAACAATCAATCAGACTGGCTACCTTGGTAGAATAGCAAAAGAGGATCAACAATGTCAAACATCTTAAATCTTTCTATCTTTCTTTTCTGCATCTGGCGACAAATCGCATTGTAGATTTAAAAAGACTCGGTCCATTTTCTGTATATGTGGTGTGTTGGCAATACGCGTGTCATGTCCACTACTCTACTTTTGCTGCTGTTTGGCGTGAAGTTCATTAAAACGTATCCTCCGTATCTGCCCCGACACACCAAGACCATGATGCTTCCAATCAGCCTCTAGGGCTATCAAAACGGCAGATCAAAATGTTAGCTTCCGTAGATATGGCAACCTCCTTCAGATAGGCCACAGACACTTACCTGAAACGGAGTCTTAGCCCCTAAAAGCCGTCCTGGCAGGCTGATGAAGTTTCTGGTGTGGGGGTGCGATGTGGGAATGCTTCCTGTCAAATGGTTACCCTGCATTAAAACCTTCACAGGATGCTAAAATCTGTGTACAAGTATGAAGCAAATAGAAAGTCAGGTTTGAAAAAGATCCAGGACCGCATGAAAAAGGCGACCCGCTCAAACGGCTCTAGATGCTTATGCATATATGGACATATACATGTACATCTGGCTGACAGAAACCGATACATTAACCTTAATAAAAAGCATGGGAAGGGTGGGACACTTCAAAAAGCCTGAAAACAACGATGTAATGGGGTACAAATTCAAGCCTGGCTATCCACTTGGCACTTGGTCATGGACATTACTATGAACTGTGGACTCCGAGTTTAGAGCCGTGGTGGCTCGGCAATCTGCTATCGCCCTTGCTATCCCGCGTTGAGTAACGTTTCCTTCTCCACCTGGAGCTGCGAGGTTTCTGGAGACTTGGAGAGGAGAATCTAGCTATTGGAAATAAGGCAGAACCAAGCTACCTAGCTATTCCCTGCTCTCTTTTGTTTCGTGTGTGCAGAGAATAACGTCGCCCCGTGTTCAATCTAATAATTGGAGTCATCTTGGCAATCCGAGTTTTGATGACGATATTCACGTGCAGAAAGAAGAGCAAGGTGCTCAACTTATCGGGATTCCTTTCGGGATCAGGGCCAGCAAGTATATAGTCTTGCGGCAAAGTACTGGCGAGTGGTGGGTTCGGTTTCATTATAGATATATACCCAATTCTATGCTTCCTCAATAGCGGGGCGGGGCGGGCCGGAAGGGGAAGAAGGGGTCTCGGCAAACCTCCGCATAAATTTCCCTCCTTTCCAGATACCAGGGAACCTGTTCCAGTCAGCAGGTAACTGCTAAGGAACAGGACTGAATAAACAACAACAGTAAGCCGCATTTATTACACAAACACTGCACGCATGAATACCGGCTAGACACAGGACCGATATCGTGAATAACCCATCTTTCTCTCATTGAATCCTGGAAAATTATTTGGATGCCTTTCCTTCTGGATCGTTATCTAGACATAATTAGCGTTTTCGGATCTACTTGAAAAATAGAAAACCGTCAGGCTGAGCATTGGTGAGATGGCTTGCTTCGCTTACCATTAGCTTCCTCCCTGTTTTCATTTGTTAATTCTTATTCTTTTCCCATCTCGTTCACCCATTCCTCTTCATCCTAAAATGCTCAGTCGATACCTGTTTTATCCAGGATAACGCGTGTCGTGTCCAGCTAACGATACCTTTGGATAGCAATCAGTGACTGCCATGGTACCAACACACCAGGGCACCTACAACAGACAAACCCCCGACCTAGATAACGTAAGATCCATGTGGTGCAAAAAGGTTTCAGAGAAACAGTTCTTTTTATCGGCTTTGGTGTGTTGTGAGCAAGCATCTCGACCACAGAATAAATCCCTTTCCAATTAACAGGCTGTTCCCTGTCGACATGTTGAAAGTAAATCCGGCGAAATCCGAGGCTGGTCGATCGGCTTAATGTTTCATGCTGCTGAGCTTATATACTTGGCCGACTTGACATCCGAGGGTCATTAGCAGGGCAGACTCTGTCCTGGGTTAATAGCTCCGTCAAGTCCTGTGAACATCGGGGTGTTGTATGTCTAGTGGTCTCTGTCATCGTCGTGGGTTTTGAAACTAATTTGGATCTTCGTTGAAAATTCCCAAAATAGCAATATTCTCACATGGGTCAACCTGTCAACCTGCACGACATTGTATGACATCTGGGGTTATTAATTCATTTGTTGGATTTTGATTAAACAATGAATCAGGAGAGGACGAATTGCTAATTACTCTAAACTGGGGTCGTGGGCCGCGAAATCGAGATGACGGCTGATCAGAATATATTCTTTCGGGGAACGACCGTTCCATTATTGACCCATCTAGCATAAGAACAATAGGTGGAAGAGATGTGTGAGCCCAGTATATTTCGCATTCGTGTAGTTGATCGGGTCAACTTCTCTCTCCATGATTGAGTTTGTTAGGGACTTATTTGGAATTGTTTTGCAATATAGAAATCTGCTTTCAAAAACAATCTGCAGCGGAGGGCTAGATATTGCTCCAAGGGGAAAACAGATAATCGATTTGTCCACCATTTGTTCTTCTCTCAAAAAGGCAGTGGAAACT